AAGTGAAAAATTTAAAGGGGTCTGAATACTTTCCGTACCCACTGTATATACTCGTGTGCAAACATTCTCAAAAGTGGTTTCTGAATTAAAGCTTCATGAATGTTTCCGAGAACACCACCTCCATGAGAAAAAAGTAACGCAAACAGTGTGGTTTATGTGCATTAGCATTTTAATTGGACAAAGCAAGAAAACATTGATTACAGTAGCAGAGTCATCAGTTCTCAGGGGTAACACCTTTCTGAACAAAAGGGTCTGAAAATGTCCGTAGGCACTGCCCAATTAAAAAGAGTATCTCGTCAGCAAAAAGAAACCAGCTCTATAAGGCAACAGTTAAAATGTAGGCCTCCCCATTTCTCTGGCAAAAAGAGCAAGTGTAAAGGTTGAATCCACTCAGATTTTTTGATATAAAATACTGGCGTTTCAATAGATATTTAAAAACCATCATAAGTGTCAAACATGTTCACCCTTTAACATTTGAATTGTATTACATTTTAAGTTTGCACAGCATGGCAATGCCGTATTATCCCTGCATGGAAGAATTGTGTGTTGCACTGTGCCAGTGTCACGTTAGATAGTGCCACTCCGCTACGGTCAATGTTGGAGTTAACTGTCACGTTATCAAAACAAAAAAGAAAAGCAAGCACCCACAGTTAACAGTAGCATTTTACTTACATTGTTCCAAATGAATTTATGGTTATTTACACGTGGCGAAAAGATTTGAGGCTGTCCGAAAGATATGAAGGAGAAATGGAATGCAAAAAAGAAAAACACTCTTGAAGTCAAATTTGTCCCAAAGTACAAGAGAGGAAAAAACTGTGCAATATTTATCTGCCCTTACAGAGAAACAGCAGTGGCAACAATCCCTGCAATTGATTTTAATCCAAGAGAAAATAAGAACAAATTAAACAGATTTCCATTCCTCAAATAATAACTAAGGTTCATAACTTAGCACGACTCAGACTTTAACGGTTTCTCAAAAAGAAAAAGAAAAAAGAAGACAAACCTCTCGGTGGCTGTCTGAGAGGAAAGATGCGAAAATGGAAGCAATTTGTAAAACCCGAAAAAAAAAAAAAAAAAAAAAATTCAAAAAGTTTCTCCTTTACAGTTTTATACTCATTTACAGTTAACTTAAAAATGGTAAGAGCCCTGGTCCATGGCCAGTCTCACCTACCACAAGGTGTAAATACCTGTGAGGGTCAAATCGCTCCTCCCTGGCTCCCGTTACCCCCCCACCCCACGCCCCCATGAAATCCCATTTACATCTCCTATAGATGTCAACCTTCCCATCAGGTTCCACATCCCAGTAAAAGTCTTAGTCCTGCCACAAATGGAGGCGGTGTTACACAGCCCCGCGGGGCACCGTACAGCCAATAAGAAGCTGATGGTTGAAAAATCTCCCACCCTGCCCACTTATCAGTGTGTGGGGTATCCTGCGGCTCCCATACCGGGCTGGTTGGCTAGCATACTCCCATTCAATCCCTGTGTAGGCTCCATAACCCCACCGTTACTGATGGCGCTCATGCCAGTCCACCCAGCACTGGCCGGTAAGTGACTGCAAAAAATGAGGTAAAGAGAGAGAGAGAAAGAGGGGAAGGGGGGGGGGGGGGGGGGGGGGAGAGAGAGAGACAGAAAGACAAAATGCCAGCAGGTTAGAGGAGACAAGGCGAAAGGGAGCCAAAGGGTTTATATTAGAGCTACTGGAATCTGGACAGGCTAGAATGAGAACAAGAAGGCAAACAGAGTTATCAGAGGATGTGAGGGTGAGGCAGGCTGGGCAAAAAACAAGCTAGCAAAAAGAAAAACAAAGAGTGGAGGGTTTTTTGGAGGAGCCAAAGGTAAATGTCATGTGATTAAATATGGGTGGAAAAGCAGACAAAGAGCACAGAGGCTAAGCGCAGCGAGCTAAATATTCCTTTTAACCCCCCCCTCCCAACGGTCGATTAAAAACAACGTGGCTCATTTTCATTGCAACATTACGTTTGGCCACAAGGTATAAAAACGTAAATTCTCACCTAACACACAATGTATTTTAAGTATTTCATGATTTCTCTAATAACTCTAATTTCTAAGTTCAGTGTGGAGAGAACAGCTTATTCAGGATAAAGTATCTTCAAATTTCAAGTCAAGAGAGGACTCGCCCTCTTTTTCTGGATTTGTGCATTTACTGTACATTCGACAATCAAACACACTATCACTGCTTTCGTTACCTCACACCTTTGTACAGAGCCTATTTATACAGCTGGTTGCCAAGAATTTTAGACTGTCAACAACATATGGCCTCTCCTTTATTATTCTTCGGTGCACAAAATGTCACTGCACATAGGCTGTCTAAATAAAAACAAAGTTCGATAACAACCTACAAAAGATATTGAACATGTCCTACTGACATTCATATACAGATCAGATCCTCAGATGTATGTAGAAATAGATCAATGAAATCAAAAAAAAAAAAAAAAAAAAAGTAAAAATCTATGACATGAATGTAGACAAACAAAAACAACTGAACAGCCTTAAAGAACACAGTCTTTACACACAGTAGGCAGTCGTACAAAAAGGGAAATGAATTCTTCAACATCAAACCATCCCCGGACGCGGACAGTAAGTGAAAACTTTGTTCTGGGCTGTGAGCATTCATCTTGTTCAGTCACTTTAGTCAGTTATCTTTAAATGTATCGAAATTCAAGAAATGGTCTTGGAGCTAGTTTACTTACAATCCTTTTTGGGAACAGACTAGAGTTTGAACTATTATGCGCTAGAATTCAAGAAACATTTCGGAACAAAACCCTTCAGTTATTAGGATGTGCTGTGCACAGTGAGAAGGTATGACTGTAACATGATTAACAACAAAACTAAAGTTCAGATTGTTCTCCGTGTGTGTGTGTGTGTGTGTGTGTGTGTGTGTGTGTGTATGTCTCAATCTTCTCGAGAGATGAGTAAGGTGAGGGGCTGGTGAGGGGACGAGACAGGATGTGGGTTTTCGGCGGAGGGAGGTCCCGGCTCCCTCCTGTGGCCAGAGATGGCTCTCGCTGCCCCGGTCTTGAAGGGGGGGGGGGGGGGGGGGGGGGGGGGGGGGGGGGGGGGGGGG